AATACTTTTCGTTAACTTAGATTAGACTTTTCAGTATCTAAGATACCTACTTCTAAGTATCTGAGATACTTTTTTAAGATACAAGTTACAGATCCTTTTGAAAAGTAACTAAGATACTAGATACTTTTGCCAAAAAATAAAAAGTATTTAAGATACAGTATTTTAAATACTATAAAGTAACTAAGATACTTTTTTCTGACAGCTCTGCAGCAATATCTTTATTAATATACCCATGGGTACTGTTTCAAATATAGATTGTTTCACGGCCATTTGCACTGCTACAACTTAAGGGATATTTATTCCAAGTAAAGCTTTGAATGTGACCGAGGGGTGAATATCTGACCCAAATTGTGTACACCGACTGCCAAATTCCACAATCTCTAAGGAAATTTGCTAAGATTGTGAGCGATTGTGAGTGATTGCGTACGATTGTGAATTATTGTATAAGGATTGTGACTGATTGTGTAAGAATTGTGAATGATTGTGTTAAGACAATAGGTGTTTTTTCACATGTCAAATGTTTTAAAAAGTTTTTAAAAATGGTTTAAAACAATGTCACATGACGTCATAACTTCTCGGCGCGAGAAAATGGTTTCAAAATGTGGATTGTATTGTATTTCGAAACGGTTTGACCAATTTTGATGTGACGTCATGGGTTCATCGCGAGAATATACTGTTTCAAACCTGTTTTGATACAGTTTTAAAAAAGTGAACGCGAGAAAACAGCTCTGGTATAATAATTGAGTTAAAATAAAATAACAAAATATCAAAACTAAATCTATATATATAAAAATCAAAGTTCACGGGGTATCTGGATATGCGCTCCAAAACCACTTATCCGATTACGATGAAACTTTGGTAGGTTGTTATGGCCATCCCAAGGAAGGTTTGTGGATAGGTTACGCATCTCGGAAAAAGAAATTAATTTTGAATTAATTATTAATTCAATTGTAAACAAACTCATTCACATTACATAACAACATAACCCAACTTTTTTTGACAGCATGAAACAACGTTGCCATATTTCATTTATTTAGGCTTGCATTCAACCGACGTAACTTTATTATTTTTTGAATTCAAGAATGGCTGGACCGATCTTGAATTAATACCAAGTATCTCTATATAAGCCGAATTCGATTGACATAGATTAGATCGATTTGGGTTCAATTCTTCTGATCTAGATTATTTTTTTGTTGATGAAGGTGCACTGATCCAGCTTGAATCGTACACAGTGTGGTTCACTTAAATTGAACCAGATCGATCTAATCCGGTCAATCGAATCGGCTATAGAGGAGAGTGATATAGGCTATTTTTTATCCCGAAAAAAAAAGTTCAATTGCGTAAAACTATGATACACTGGAACGCCTATAAACTGCCCGGGGCGCTCTAGAGCAGCTCTGGAGTGCTTAAAATGCGTCACTGAACTCACTGGCAAGCGACTATGATATCGGATTAAAAAAAAAAATTAAATAGAGAATCAACAACAATATTTGAAAAGAAGAGTTTTCTTTCAAAATGTATTTACATGCTGGCAACGCAGCGGGTCATTAGCTAGTTAATAAATAAAAAGAATATTGAGTTTTTTTATCTTTCTTATACACAGTACTCTGATTGAGCAGTTGTACAGGGTGGCGCAGAGGAAAAGCATGTTTTTCACGTAGTTAAAATTTTTTATTTCCAAGATAATTTTGTTTCAATTAGGTACTCGATTAGGAACAGCTAAATGAAGTAATAATCGTGTTTTTCTCAATAAATGAGTCAATTAATAATGAAAAATAATTTCAGTCAAAAAGTGTCGTCCTGCTTTGGGGTCACACATCTCCAACCCCTCTTGAAAGTTGTTCATCACACTTGAAACATGCGTTTCCTCTGCGCCACCTATAAAATCTAAATTTTTCAATTACAGGGTGTCAAAAATGCTAGGTTATATAGAGGAACCATAGAAAAGTAATTTGAGACAGGACACCAATGGTCGAAAGTGCGTCGTTTCCAAAATACAGGGTGTTGAAATTTAAACAACCCCCTTTCATATCATCTGGAGGGCTAATGCTAGGCTGTATTGATATAGGAAGGATATTTAAAAATTCTTTTAATGCACCCCCATTTTCTACCTGGAACCACCCAAAAAAAAATTGAAACAAATTGTTTTTTTCTACTACCGTGCCTCAAGTACTTACTTTACACACTGTTCGGAAGACTTAAAATGTCACTTCACGCACTAGTGCGTAAAGAAATCGACTTCACACACTAGTGCATAAAGTAATGTCAATGACAGATGTCGGCAACTGTCAATTTGGTATTTTTCTGGTAAATTACTTCACGCACTAGTGTGTAAAGTGAAAATACTTCACGCACTAGCGCATAAAGTATTTGTCTAAGTTTATTTTTTTACAAATATTTTATGGGTACTAAAAAAAATTTTGTATGCAATACGTGTGTAAGGCACCTTTTTTCACTCATGTGATTGTCAAAATTCCCATTCGTGAAAAAAGGTTCACTTTACACACTTGTTGCATAAATAACTATTTTTCTCAAAAGATTTTTTTTGGGGTTGTTCCAGGTAGAAAATGAAGGTGCACTATACGAATTTTTGAATATCATTTCTACTTCAATAATCCCTGGAAATTTGAACAGCCTAGCATTAGCCCTTCAGATTATGAAAGCAGGTTGTTTAAATTTCAACACCATGTATTTTCGGAACGACGCAATTTCGACCATCGATGTCCTATCTCAAACTACTTCTCTATGGTTCCTCTATAAATCCTAGCATTTTTGATGAGTTAAACGGAGAGACCCTGTATATACCACGTGTTTGAATTTAAAACAATCATCACAGACAGATGTGACAGACAATAACAATAACACAGGAAAATGATGACAAATTATTGAAGAATTTGTTGTGAGTTAGATACTTTTTTCAAATTAGGCTTTTATTTGCTAAAAAATATTGTTATTTTTTTGTGACTCAAACCTTGATAGTGTAAATGGATGATTGATAATTTTTAAAATGGATTGGAGCATATACAGGGTGTTACAAATTCGCGAGAAAGTATGCGGATCTCGGTATCCATAAGAGATACAGGGTCAGTCAATTTGGGGCAAAAAATGAACATTTCAATCAAAAAAATATATAATTTGTATGGAGATACTCATCTTTGTCAAACTCATTATTTTATAGCAAATATTGGGTAAATTGTTTTTGTTTGACGAAGATAATAGGTATCTCCATACAAATTATCATACTTTTTTGACTGAAATGTTCATTATATCAATTATTTGATACACCATTCCATTGAGGAAGTCATCCAGCAAAGAACTACATACAGAAAAAATCAAGAGCTGTATTCAAAAAAATAAAGTGGATGATGTTGGCCCGTCGGATTTTAAATTCCATAATGTCATAGTGTAGAAGAGAAAAAGGGCCAACCATAAAGTGCAATTTATTTTGAAGTATCTTTTTTATTCTACAACATCTAGGTCTGGATTCTTAAGCCATCTGAGGTGACTTCTTTTCGGTTTTTAATTTAAATATTTTTAACTTCGTTTTTAACTCTCTCGCTCAGCAACCTACTACCTCAATGGCAACCAAACATTTTTGAGGTTGGGTTTTTTGATATCCCCCTCAGTATTTCTCTATCCAGTGCAATTAGAGTTCAGAAATGTGTGCTGTAGGTGGCATACAAAAGTTAGTTCATCAAACAGGCTTATTGGCTTATAGCTATGGGCGAAAATGAAGTAAATTAAACTATTTGGAGGGACCTAACATGTTACAGATGGTGGTAGATTGTGGAGCGATTGTGAGAGATTGTGTAACGATTGTGAGATATTGTGCAACGATTGTGGGAGATTGTGACACGAATGTGAGAGATTTTGTGTGATTGTGTAACGATTGTGACAGATTGTGTGAGATTGTGTAACGATTGTGACAAATTGTGAATGATTGTGTGAAGATTGTGAGAAATATGTACACCGACTGCAAGAGCTATTCACCCCTCGAATGTGACTCTTGTAGAAACAAAAGTCACAATCAAAGCTTCACTTAGATTAAATATCCCTTAAGTGATAGCCGTGCAAATGGCCATCAAACAAAAAAAAAATCTAACAATAGGTATAAATATACCTACCTAACAAATGTAATTAATCAATCCCCATAAGTACCTAGTAAATTTGACTATTTAGACTTCTCTAACTCATAGTTAGTTATAAAAATTAGATACTTTATTTGAGTAGTGTGAGATACTTATTCATTAAGAGTTTAGGTATTTGCTTGGGTATTTGTTTATAGTGTAGACATCAAAACTCAGGTTTTACTTCATATACTATAGAAGGAAGGCGAACCCTTAATTTTTGTTACTTAAATGCTCATTTTCATGAAATCAGTGTCTGAGCACAACTTTCTTACATATATTTTTAATTTATAAGTAGGCACTAGAAGGAAAAGTTTTTTTTTTTGCTAGGCACGAGGCTAGGCACCTCTTTACAGATTGATTTGGGTTTATTTGAAAAATATTATAGGTACTTGCTCACATCCAGATGCTTTCTAGTAAACTAGGAGAAGCTCTAAATGTTGTTTAGGGCTTATTTTCATCAAATGAGAAAGTAATGTTCAAGCCTCGGTTCAAGCCAAGTAGTCCAGTTTTCTGGTATTATAGGTATTATCTAAACTAATCATGTTTTTGTGCAAATATATACATGGTAAATAAATGTTTCCAGCCTCTTTGTTGTATAAAGGACTATTATGACCTTAAAACATTATACTTTCTTTTTTTCCTGGTTTTTTTCTATACGTAGATTGTACCATATGTCTTCTGACGCCAATTTAGTTATACTTATAAGTTTTAATACAATAAATAATAAACAATAAACTGGAAAAAAACTAAACTGTGCAAAAGGTGTACTCCTGAATATTTCCGATGTTGTGCCCCACGTTTGGACCCTTTAAAAGTTAACCTAACTTTTAAGCACACCCCTAAATAAACTAGAATTAAATTTATACTAACTGCTTCGTCTTCGGCCATTGTAGATATTGTTTCTTCGGTAATAGTAAAACTGTAACTTTTATGGAAAAAATTCACAAAATTTTGGAAAACTATTGCATCAGCCAAAAAGTAAATTAGCAAAATGCAAATGCGAATGTAAATGTCAACTTGACATTGAAGTTGTCAATTAATTGTCAGTTATCAAAAATGTTGGAGGTTTTCATTTTGATACTGCTCCGTGCAAATATGGACTGATATTAGTTGTATTCCTTTCACACCTAGGAGGAGCTCCGGAACAGCTCCGGGGCTTCACGCGCTTATTCCTTTCGAAAAGTGTTTGTTGCGCATTTGTTCCATGCAAATCGGGGGCGCCGAAACACCGGAGCGAGCTGCTCGAGTGTTTCAAACTCTTGAAAGGAATGCAACTATTCGCTAAAGAAGAGTAGACAGAGAAAGATATGAGCTCTGTTCCAACCGACATGAGAATCGTTTCAGAACCAGTAATTTCCAGTTGCCCAACTATTTTTCAATAAGTTGAACGTTTATCCTAATAATTGACAAATGAATTGATCGACTGGAAATTACCGTTCTAGAACGATTCTCAATTCTCATGTTTGTTGTAACAGAGCTATATGAAAAAAAAAAGAAACAATATTTAGCTAGAAATATTACAGCTTAGTTCAAAGTAGTGCGACAGAAATAAATAAACCTATAGCGTTACGTTCTCCATCGTGCGTTCGATATTTTGATCTGAGTACTCCGAGCTTGAATTTTCCGTTCGTTTATTTGAAAAGTGTACTAGGTGCAGGCTCATTCGCGTTCGTTTATCAAAATTTGGGCTCTCGGATACAGCGTTCAACTGCTCTGTTCGCTAGCTGGTCACGTGATTACGGCTCCACTCAGCACGCTCTGCTCTTTGAGCAAAATACCGAACGCAAGGACTGAAGAAGGAGCAGAATTTAGTGCACTCGGAGCAAAAAGTGCTGCGCCAGGTCGGTCAATGAAATCCGCCATTTGTCAAGCAAGAGGATTATCAAAAATTATTAGGTTATGTTATATTGTTATTTTTCTTTCTAAATTATTATTAACAATAATTTATTTAGTTAATTAACGACGAAATGGCATTACTTAAGCTAAGTAGAAACCTATTGTTCCCACGTTTAATAACAAGCCAAGCAAAGTTAGGATACACAAATTTCCATACAATACGAAAAATTGGCCCAAAAATAATCACCAAAACCGTGCCAGTAGCCCAATTCAACTCGAAAAGAACTTATTTCTGGATCTTCAAACGTCTAACTAAAAGAGAAATACGACTGGCCGACAAGCCTCCGCCAGAATACGAACTTATTTACAGATGCACTGTGGATAACTACTTTTTAGTAATTCAATATTTTGGTTTCTTTGCTGTGGCCACAGTTGGATTTATAGCATTATTGGGTGCTCATCGTTTTTATATGCCACCCTCACCGAGGGACGACTTATATATTGGAGATCGAGAAATCCTAGGTCAAGATCCAATAAATGTTAATTCCGATGAAACTAGCTGGCTTTTAGCAGCATTCATGACTGTATATTGTTGCATATATTTTTTTGTGGCTAGAACGCCTGTAAGGATATATTATTACCCACAAAGACAAAAATATTTATTATATTTTTATGGAGCTATTCCCAAACAAGTAAAGAAGTTAAAATTGAAACCAGGAGAGTTGGATCATTGTGAGTCCTTCTTTAAAAGCTCACCTATTGCTGGTCATACCTATGCCCTTAAAGAAACTGGTCGAAAGATTATTTTGGTGGACGATTATTTTAGGACTACAGGAGATTTGTATGTTTTGTTGGGAATGCAAAAGGATCCAAATGTGACTGATTTTCATTATGATAATAAAGAAAAAAAATCTGATAAAAAGAAATCTGATGAAAAGAAGAAACTTGATGGGAGGTGAAAAAATTGAATGTATATAAAGTGTTATTTATTTAATAATGGAACAGTTCAAATAAAGCTAATTTTGTTCTAAAAGAAGTTTTACTGTCGTAAGGATTTACCTACTTACTATACATACACTAGTAGATAGGTAAAAAAGTTTGTATGTTATGTGTTATGTAATACCTAACTGTTTTCCACTACAACCAAAAATCGTAAACCATAAGAAGCAGAAAAAAGCTCTAAAAGCTTGGTTTTGTGAGTAAAGAAAATTAACTTGACCGTTCCCCAATTAGTCAAACACTATCCATTAAAATATTTTAAAAATGTATTTCTCCATTTATCTGGCCCAACTCTGCCGATTTCCTTCTATCATCATTTACTTGCTTTTGCAAATCCGCGAGTACTTTGGCGCTACATACAGGCACTTCTTGATGAATAGTGATGTTGAATAACTTCTTATTTACAACATATTTCATCTTGGGATTATTATATTCCAAACAGGGACAAAACTGGTAACCCCACATGATCTCCTTGTTCAAATAGGAAGTTTGACTTTTTGTCGATTGGCCTGTTTTGACTGAACTTCCCGATACAACCACCAGGATTTCTAATCTAGAAAAAAATATAATTTTTATTGAATTTGCATGATTAGTGCTAAAACATATGTCTGGCCTGGGAAAATGAAGAATAATGAGCATCGTTTTTTTTTGTCTATAAAGGAATTATTTTTTTCCATTGTAAATACGTGAAATAATTGAGACATTAATACAAAATACAACCCAAGTCCGCAGCTCTGATTGAATATTTGGAGTCTTCAGGAGCCAAAAATAAAAGAATAAGCACGCAGAAGAATGAATATAGAAAAAGATCAACACTGTGTCGTGAAGTCCTAAAAAGTAGAAAAAAAGAGTCTGGATAGGCCCAGATGAAATACCTACGATAGTACCTCGGATAGTACCTACTGTAGAACGGTGGCGAATCGATTGGTTTGCAACTAGCTAGCTGATGCTATGCAGGATGCTTAACACTTGGAAAAATTCCACAGCAATGGAAAAAATCGATAATAATTCCATTATTTGAGAAGGGTGATCGACATAGACCAGAAAACTATAGGCCATTAGTCTAATATGCAATCCACTAAAATGCATGGAGAAGATAATTGTTAAAGAACTGACAGCGTTTTTCTTTGAAAAATATCTCATATCACCCTCACGACACTGATTTCTCTCTAAACGTTCTACAAAAACAAATTTACTTTATTGTCTTCAAGACTGGGAAGATACCCATGGTAATTCTCAACCCACAGATGTGATCTATCTCGATTATGAGAAGGCATTCGACAAAGTCCCACATAATCTACTTTTAGGAAAGTTACAACACTTTGGTTAAAGTGAGTCGACTCATTGCATTATTAGAGGACCTGCTGCATGAGACATTTTATCAAGTTATAGTAAATGGTGTGCTATCACATCAATATCTTGTTAGTAGTGGAGTTATCCAGGTTCGGTCATGGGTCTCTGCTTTTCACATCATATTTGCTTGATCTTGTAAGTCTAAATGTTAGATAAAAAATTTCGAAGATGATGGAAAGCTTTATACAAATCCGCTAGTACGTACAGGGCAGATAAGGGCTGACCTAAAAACTGTTGAAGAATGATCTTCAGAATGCGGAATGAAGTTGAATGAGTCCAAATGAACCAGTCTTAAAAATCGGTCCAAACAAACCAAACGAAGAATATGAACTAAATAATCTGACATTACACTGTGAAAAATCAAAATCAAAATGACCAAGGTGTCATGATAACTTCAGACCTGGAATAGAAGAACCACATCTTAAAGATTGCCAAAAAAACCAATCCTTTTGTTTACCTACCTCACTCAATAACCAAGTATTTAAAGAACACTCAATAGAAATGACAGGCAAACTGTATTAAAGTAAACTTGAATACGCTTTCTCAGTGTGGAATACCTATATACCTACTATATTTATGTCAAATATATAGAAGTTCTAGAAAAGCTACGAAGACGAGCTACAAAAATACCACCAAAACTACGAGACCTTCCATACACAGACGGATGTTCAAGACTAAAATTACCGACTTTAAAGAAGAGAAGACATAAAGGAGACCTAATTGAAGCGTACAAAATAACCAGTACTAAATTGCAATATCGGGGAAATCTTTACACATAACCAAAGCTACCTTCGTGGGCACTCCAAGAAACTCGAAAAAGAAAAAACCGCAAAACTGCCTAGAACAAATTTTCTGACAACAGAGTTGTTTATTCATCGAACGCCCTGGAAGAGCAGACAGTGTCAGCACCAAGTGTCAGCGCGTTCAAAAATAGACTAGACAAAGAACTCGAGAATAGGGCAGTTAGAATGATACCCTACAGTGCATAAACAGTTTTCAATACACATATACAAGAACAACAGATTTTTAAATGCAGTAATAGCTTCATCGGTTTTACCGCCTACTATTAGACAAATTACATGATTACATAGGTAGATATGTATATTTGGAAGAAACTGAAATGATAAAAAACAAAAAAATCAGAAACACCATTTATTTTGGTATCAGAGGATGAGACAACCAAAAAGGATAAACTTCCAAATCAGTCTTGGCACAGAGAGACATTGGTTCAAAAAGAAGTTTGAGGACGCTCTGTTGCATACAGACAGAAAAACATCTTGAAAACTTATATCGTAAATAATGTTAGTTCTTGGCGTTGCCTTCAAGTTAGTATAGAATGATTCTGAAAAAATCGCTGTCACAATCACCAAATTTCTACCTCGTATTCATCATTTCATCAGCTGAAATTTTCCATAACGGACTATCCTCTGTGATTTCATGAACAACATCCACTGGCCAAAATAGCATTCCCACTGGTTGGATTTTCAATTCCATGACGTAGTTTCTTATTGATTCTCCTTCTTTTGTGTGTATATCTGTGACTAAATACATATGAACGTTGGTGTTGATCCAGTGTCTTCCATCCCTGTCATTTACACGGATTATGACACACAGACGACCATTTCTCATAGCTATCTAGAATTTGAAGCTATATAATGGATACAGATACTATCGATTCTCTGATGCACTGCTTCCTATTATGAGCCGCGAATGAATTGCATTCGGGTATAAAAGCATTAAATGTACCTATTTTGATTGATGTTTATACTAACCACTGCTTTTTTACTGAAAATCTGCCCGAAAATATTTCTATCCTTTGGTTTATTAAGCTTAGCATAAACCACAGAAATAAAGACACCATCTACCACTATAGACGATAAAGTACTGACAGCTAGCACAACAAAATAAAGTTTACAGTATTCAGTGGGATGAAGATAACCATATCCGGTGGTTGAGATGGTTTCTATACCCAACATGAAGTAATTTAAGGTGCTTTGCATTCCCGCTATACAAACCCTGTGATCTGAATGAAGTGGATCTTAATTGGCGTATTTTATCCATAGGTATTAAATACTTACCTTCGTCTGGATCAAAATCCCCACTTATCCAAGAATCGTAATAAAACAATAGGCCGCAAGTAGTGTAAGCGAGCACATTAACTACAACAACAACCAATAGAAGCCATCTCCATTGCATATTTGCAAGGGTGTTCCATAAATCTTTGGCGTACTGTATGGATTTTTGAGGGATTTTTTTGAAATACACTCTAACTTTGCCTCTTTTAGTTACCATTCTTGCGTCACATTTGTTGTATTGTGAGAAGGGCCGAATCGGAGTGTTCCTTCTGAGACTATCATTTTTATTGCTACTGGCAAGAAATAATTTACTTTAACAGTCTATGGGGTTAATTTCACAGACTTGGTAAATAGGTATAATGATTTTTCATAAATTTTTACCTAATAATGCTGACTTGCTTCCTAAAAATAACAGGAAAATCAATATCATCATTGGTATTATGTTCACTCTGCAGAAATTGTACTAAAACATCTTTGTTGTCAGACATTTTTCTAATACTTATTTAGCACATCTTGGAGATGGCAATATTACTTATTACTTAAGAGAAGGCAACAGATAAGATAACCTGTTTATAAGTTTATATGAATGCATAAATATTAAAATAATAAATAAGTCGTTTTTGCTATTTACCTAAAGGAATTATTTATAGAGTTGAATTAACTTTTATTACCTATTTTCAAGATAAACGAAACCTAAAACCGTTTTTAATGTAAGTCGTGACATGATAGACCTCATCGAATCAAATATACATACCTACAGTATGTATAGTTTATATATCTTTATACCTAATATGGATATAGTAAACGAGAAAATATGGGATTGTTATTGAGTAGAAATCAAAGATACCTACTGTATGAAATTAAATCATTTATTCTTTTGAACACAATAAAAGTAAGTATAAACTGCATACATACATAGGTACCCAACTAAAAAGTTTTATATTGAATGGTAACTATGCGTATCAAAAATTACAAAATGCTTAGCATCTCTTGACATCTTTTCTCAAGTTGGTTCTTATTTCATAATCACTGTCAGCTTTCATGAAAAACCAATAAATTCTCCTGTAAATTAGTTTCCCTATTTACGCAGGCCAACTCAAGCGATTTCCTAGCATCTTTACTAATTTGTTTTTGAAAATCAGCCAGTACTTTGGCGCTACACAATGGTACTTCTTGAGGTATAGTACTATTGAATAACTTCTTATTTACGACATATTTAATTTTGCTGTCATTTTTATATTCCAAGCAAGGACTAAACTGATATCCCCACATGATTTCGTTGTTCAAATAGGAAGTTTGACTTTTTGTTGATTGGCCTGTTTTAACGGAGCTTCCAGAGACAACGACCAAGATTTCCAGTCTGAAACAAACACATTGAACATTTACGCTTTATACAAAAATGGCTATATCTTGTCCTCAGAATAAAATCAATTTCTAATCACAATTAATCTTATGCATACCTTTTTGTCATCATTTCATTAGCCGAAATCGTCCACAAAGGACTGTCCTCGGTGATTTTATAGACAACGTCCACGGGCCAAAATAACATTCCAACCGGTTGAATTTTCAATTCTATAATGTAATTCCTGAGTAGTTCTCCTTCTTTGGTTAGTATGTCTCTGATTAAGTACATATTGACTTTAGTGTTGATCCAGTGTCTTCCATCCCTATCGTTCACACGCATTATGAGACAGAGATGACCATTTCTCATGGAGATCTAGAATTTAAGCAAAAAAAATCTGCACATGAATTATTTTAGAATAGGTGAAACTGCATTGCAATCGGCTCAACATATATCAACTCATTCGGCTTATGATATTTTATAAAAGTAGTTTTCAAATATATTTTATTGAGAATGCTGCCTAAACTATTCCCAAATAACAAGGCATTATATTTTGTCAGTTCAAAAATTTCGAAATACGTAGGTAATTCTATGAAGCAATATAGGGTTCCGGATATAGGGAGAAGATGAGAATATCCAGCTAGTCCGAGAGCGTATTATTAAAATTTAATGAAATCATAAAACGGCAAATAAATTTCATTGTCCACGTGTACCTAAGTTTTAATAAAAGAAAGACGGAAGCTTAAGGTATTTCATAGAAAATACAGTACGTTTGCTCTGAAGATATTTATACTTAGGTATCAACTTTGAATTGAAATCAGCAGTTATAGGAGTCACTAAAATAAGGGAAATACGAAATCTAAGCAGTTAAGTTTGAACAGGATTTTTTGGAAGCTACTTGTGAATATTCCTCCAAAAATCGTAAAAAGTGCTATTGTGTATTAGGCTTTCAATATTTAAATTTTAATGTTTATAATAAAAAAAATCAAATAAACATTACACGGTTCTTTAGCTTGGTATAACCTAGAACCTAGAACTATAAGAATATCAAAAAGATCGTCACGAAACCGAACTAGAAAAAGTATTTGATAAACGTAATACAACGATGCGAAAATCTGGAATAAAAGAGCTCATATTCAACAGAAAGGTTTCGAAGAACCTATGAAACCGAATGGCAAAAGTCAATCAAAGAAAAGTTAGGGAGAGACATATGATAAAACGCAAGAGTTAGAAAATTCGCAAGACCAAGGAGAGAATCCTCTCGTCAATACGCTATATCTGGGGAGAAAATTGTTAGCAGCTCTCTGGCTATAGGCATGGCCCAGCAGTAACAAGAAAACTTGTAAGTAGACATATTTATTTCCGAATTAATTCACTTTACCTATTCATTTATAATTACAGGAAACAAGTTCCTGAAAGGGCTCAGCTCCAGCCAAATACAAAGACCAGAAGAACAAAAAATCGTACATAAAGACCAAGTAGGTACCTACCCGCCAGAAAAACTGAAAAATCCAAAGAAGAACTTCAAACAGAATACGAAATGGATTCTAAAGAAGGAGCTTATCCTCCAGCTCCTACTGAATCTGGAGTACATGAAAGGAAAGTTTATGTGACCAAACAAAAACTGACCCAGATACGGCGTCAAGGAGATTTGAAAGTTACTCGCAATATCACTGCTACTGAAACTACCTGAAGTAAATGTGATTTGTTATTTCTAATGCATTATCAACTGTATCTAATGAATAGCTACTAGCAATACCTTTTTGTTATAAATACTATGTTTGTCACATTGACATTGTTAAAAGGTCATTGGTTAAATGTATGAATTGTAAAACTACGTTGAGTTTTGCGAATGAAAACCTCAATTAAGAAAGGTTTATTTAGTACAATTTTATTCGCAAATAATGAAGAAAACTTCTATCGATTATGGATAAGTATTTGAGACCTGAGAGATTCGAATGTGATACAAATTCCTCCACTGCTCCAAAGCAATATCGACATTGGTATGAAACTTTTAAAAATTTTTTGGAGAAAAACTCAACCGAAGATAAGACGCGAGGAGATAGAGATAATTCAGTAGCGTAACTTGACATTAGGGGGCCTCGGTGCAAGATTAGATCAGCCCGACCGCAATTGACCACGCCGGAGTTTTCTTTGGGTACCACGCTCAAAAACGCTAATTTTAAGCCTTCAAAAATAGTATAGAGGGTCCCGCGAGGTTTTTCTCAAATGATACTTCGGAACGCATCATCGTATGTTCCCCCGTAAATTTTTTTATCCTTTTCTTTAACAAAGCCCTAACAAATATGGAATTGCCGATTTTGTGATTTAATTTTCTAAGTAAAAATGCCATAATATACCATGAGTTACATTTAAGATTCGAAAATTGATGTCTCTTGACCGAAATTGAAGCGAAAGTGGTGAAATTGGATAACAATGGTAGAAGCGGCACAAAAAGTTACGCTCTGACGTTATTACTTAGGAAAAACGTTGTGGAACACCCTGTATTGTATATTTAGGTGGAAAAGTGGCACGTTCTCGGCCGAAAAGTGATTCCCATACTGTTATCCATTGATTCCTTAGCAATCACTTTCCCGGCCTAGGCCAGAAAAGTGATTTCCGTACTGTTATCCATCGATTCCTTCGCAACCATTGAAAATACCAGAATAATGGGTATACATTCAGGCGGTGCCAGCGGCTAAGTTCAGCCACTCAGCAGGGACTTTATTCTTGAAACCGAGGCACAGCATTCTCATGAGAACAATTGCTCTGTCTTTGTCCGTGTTATGGAAATATGAATACGGACGACGAAGACCTTCGTTCTCAGGAGAACGCTGCTCCCCTGTTTCGAGAATAAAGTGCCTACTGAGTGGCTGAACTAAGCCGCTGGCACCGTCTGAATGTACCTGAGTTTTGCGACCTTTCAACTAGTCAAAAATGATGACATTTCTTGTCAATCGCAGAAAAACATTTTTTTTTTTTTTTCAAATTACCTACATATTACGAATTTAATAAAATAAGTATGTACTTATGACAAATGAGGGGCCCCTGCGAGGCCCTTCAAGTCTCGGGGGCCTCGGTGATTTGCCCCGAACTGCCTTATGATAGTTACGCCAGTGAGATAAGTAACAGCTTTTAATAAATTTTGTATCACATTCAGTTTATGAACACATTAGTGAAGCTAAAACTTATACAGATGCTATACAGATTTTAGAGAATTTATTTATAAAACCTACAAATGGAGTGTTTGCTAGAGATCTACTTTCTACAAGAAAACAACAGTTGAATGAGACCATTGATCAATATATTCAGGCCTTAAAATCCTTAAGTCAAGACTGCAATTTCAAATCAGTAACTGCTGAACAGAATCGAAATGAATTTATACGAGATGCTTTTATAAGCGGATTATTTCAATCAACAATTCGTCAAAGGCTATTAGAATCTCAACCATTAACACTGGAAGAAGCTATATCACGATCCAGAACCTTAGAAGAATCTCAAAACAATCTGAGCTGTATTTTTCGTCTCAAAAATCGATAAATGCAGCCTATTCAACTGAAACAAGTGCAATAGAAACTATACCTAAAAATCAAGAGCAGTTAGCTTCTGCAAACGCTTCATATGTCGTATACAAGAATGTTATTTCTGTGGAAATCCAAGAAACCCACGTGCTATGTGTCCTGCTCGTAATAGAACCTGTACTTATTGCCAGAAACTTGGATATTTTTCTAAAGTATGCATCAAATCAAAATTATCAAAGACATCATCTTCAACATTTTGCATATCTTCAACTTTTACGAAATCTCCTCAATGCTTATCAAAAGCTATAATTGTAGTATCCATAAGCCATATAGAGGCAAATGCTTTATTAGAAGACACTGGAAGTTCAAACACTTTTCTAGATTTAGATTTTGCAAATAAAAATAAATTCAAAATATTTACTTGCCAAGGAGAAGTGTCTATGGCATCTACTTTTTGCAATTCGCAAATAAAAGGATATTGTTTTATTGATTTGCAAATTTTTGAAGAATGGTATACTGCATGATCTAAAAGTTCTCGTTCTATCAAGACTGTGCACTGATTCAATAATTGGTCATGATATTATGCATGGCAAAACATAACACTGTTAACGTAATTTTCGGCGGACTTAGAGCTCCTCTTTCGATTTGCTGTTTCGCACTGGCACAGGTGGAACCACCTTCATTATTTGAAAATCTTACAGAAGACTGTAAGACGATAGCAACGAAATCTCGTCGATATTCCGAAGATGATTATAAATTTATACAATAAGAAGTGAGAAAACTGGTCAGCGAAGGAACTATTGAAGAAAGCACATCACCATGGAGGGCTCAAGTGTTAGTTACACGCACAGAATATCACAAAAGGCGAATGGTTATTGATTATTCACAAACTATAAAAAAAATTAGTTTACTGATGCATATCCTATTCCAAATATCGAATCATTAGTAACAAAAATAGCCAAATATTCGATATTTAGCACCATTGATTTAAAATCTGCTTATCACCAAATTCCAATTCCAGAAACAGATAAATCTTTTACAGCTTTTGAAGCAGCTGGTCGCTTATATCATTTTAAAAGAATTCCTTTTAGGGCCACAAACGAAGTATCCTGTTTCCAGAGAGTGATAGATTCAATAATCCAAAAAGAAAATTTACAAGGTGTTTTTTCATATTTAGATGATGTGACAATTATATGTGGGGAGAATCAAAAGTCCCATGATTCAAATTTAGCAAAATTTTTAGAAATAACTAAGAAATACGAGCTTAAACTTAATCAAAATAAGCTTGTACATTTATAATAAAAAATCTATTAATTTACTAGGATAAACTATTGAAAACAAGACATTGAAACCTGATTCGGATAGACTAAAACCACTATTAAACTTGCCAGTTCCTGAAAATTTATAAAGTCTTCGAAGAGTAGTGGGCATGTTTTCACATTATTCGAGGTAGATTCAAAATTTTTCAGATAAAATTAGACGTTTGATTAACTGTAAAACTTTTCCCATGACTAACGAAGTCAAACAGGATTTTGGACAACTCAAAACAGACATAGCAAATTCCTTTCTTTGTACTATAGATGAACATGAAACTTTAATCGTTGAAACTGATGTATCGGATTCTGCTATTGCCGGTACATTAAGCCAGTCAGGAAGACTTGTTGAATTTTTTCCGAGAACATTATCAGAAATTAAAAAGAAGCATTCCGCTGTGAAAAAAAGCATACCTACGCTTGTGTAGAAGCACTACGTAAATGGCGTTTTTTTTAAAGACATTCTAAGTTTATTACAGATCAAAAATCGGTGTCATTCATGTTTGATTCATAGCAACATTCTAGAATCAAAAATGATAAAATCATGAAACGGAGATTGGAGCTTTCTTGTTATAGCTATGATATAATCTATCTTCCTAGAAAATCAAAATGATACAAATTTATTTGAATTACATAAAAATTTATGTCACCCTGGAATAACAAGAATGTACCATTTTGTCAAAGTTGAAAATTTACCTTACTCTTTGGAAGAAGTAAAAAGAATGACGTTGAATTGTTCTGTATGTGCAGAAGAAAAACCTAGATTTTGTAAAAAAGAATGTTGGAGCTCATTTAATAAAAGCAACATCACCCTTTGAGAGGCTCAATGTTGTTTTTAAAGGACCACTACCAAGTTCTCATACTAAAAATGAATACCTGCTGACTATAGTAGATGAATTTTCAAGATTGCCTTTTGCTTTTCCTTGTGTGCCAGCTTATATACATTCGGATCGCGGATCACTATTTATGTCAAAGGAACTCACTGAATATTTACATTCTCGTGGGATAGCTTCTAAACTACACCGTATAATCCAGAAGGAAACGGACAAATTGAACGATATAATGGTATTGCACTGAAATCTAGAAAACTGAAAACTACTCAATGGGAACTTGTGTTACCAGATGCCTTACACTCCATTAGATCTTTGCTGTCTACTGCAACGAACTGTAGGTATGCCCCATGAGAGGTTATTTGACTATCAACGCAGGTCAACTAATGAAACGTCAGTTCCAACATGGCTTAAACAATCAGATTTTGTTTTGCTTAAGAAACATGTACGACGTAGTAAATACGATCCTTTGGTAGAAGAGGTTGAACCCTTAGGGGTTAATCCAGACTATGCTTTAATTAGACAAAAAAGGGAAAGAAAACCACTGTTTCTGTAAAACATTTGGCACCCAGAGGAGATATAAAACTTTAAGATGCACCTTTGGAACATTTCGACGCGACGCGATATTCAAAATCCTACTGAGACAGTATACAATGATTTTTCAGAATCTAATCTATGCTACCAGACGCTGGGAAACTCTTACCACCGGTGGCTACGAGACAGCTTAATTAAAATGAAGAATTGGCACTCAGCCAAAGTATTTCTCAGATTATGTCAAAAACTAGACTGGGGGCGAATGTGAAATGTGATATGTTATTTCTAATGCATTCCATTATAGCCTGAATCTAATGAATAGCTATTAGTAATACCTTTCTGTTATAAATACTATGTTTGTCACATTAACATTGCTAAATGTATAAATTGTAAAACTAATTGAGATTTGTGAATAAAAGCCTCAATTTAGAAAGGTTTATTCACTACAGTAAAACACAAAGCCAAAACTCAAGAACGCATTGTGCAAGTCCTACCATCTAATCCTCCTGTATTTACTAAAAAAGTATTCGACCGCATGCAGAGACTTTGAAAACGATTCCGATAGATTCGAAGTTGAATATGATGGTCCACTTCCAAAAGTCACATGGTATAGAGAATATTTCCCTATTACCAGCTCTCCAGACTTAAAAATCTACACCTTCAGCACTAAATCGAGTTTAGAGTTGTGACAAGTAAGTATACATGGAAGATTCTGGAGTATTCAGCGTAAGCTTCGACGAAAGCTGGCCAATTAGTGCGATTTGATGCCAGAATCAATAGGTCGGCATACACACACGTTATTTCGCGCGGTTTATCGTGGCGTGTTGGGATGTAGCGGTTTGCATGCGCGAAAGATCGGCGTGGCAAAAAAAGCGTCATTTTCCATACACTTGCCAAAGTTATCGAATGATTTAGCATGTGATTACGCAGGGCATATCAGATTCAAAGGAAAAATCCTATGTGTTTGGGCAAAAAGTGTCATTTATCGTGTCATTCGAAAGTGCATGAGGTCATGTACTAATTTTCAACGTGTTAGTTTGCGACGCGGCGTTCCCTTTTTTGTAATAGCCTCAAAACCATGACGTGGAATGGCGTGTGGACACGGATGTGAACTGCACTATCATGTACTTTAATACTGACGCCACATTCCAGATGAAAGCACGTGTGAAATCCCTTCCCATTCTATCATTGCGTGCAGCCCTCCTCACTGACGCACATGATTTTTCACAGGTTTTTGCAGAGACACGATAAACTACGCGAAATAACGTGTGTGTATGCCGGCCTAATGGCACCAAACCAATACATGTTCATTGGTTGAAGAACAGTAAAAAAATTGTCCCCGACATACAATACAAAACTCTAGAAGATTACTTGTATACCCTGTTGAATATTGAAACTGTTCCAGAAGATGAAGCTCGTTGTGAAGCTGATTCAACAATCAAGTCCATCAGCACCGCAAAAGCCTACCAAACCAACTACCCCTGGAAGTGAAAAGCCTCCCTATCATCGCTGAAACTTTAAAAGACAAAACTATCTGTGAAGGACAAGCGGTTGCTTTCAGATTCAAAATCATTAGAAAACTTCCCACGATCAAGTGGTTTAGGCGACAAAATCATCAAACCGTCTGAATATTTCCACACCTGAAGATGGTGTAGAGTACACCGAAACGTCGGCATTGATTTGATCATTAAATTAACGTCCAATAAGCCAAAAAACTTACTTTCATTTGAAATTGTTGTGGACAAAATTCTAAAAGTTTAAATATTTCCAGATGGTAAAAGAAGGCGAATATTATTGCACTTTGAACATATCGGAAGAGTTCCCTGAAGACGTACTGCGGAAAATCCAAAAGGGAATGTAACTGCTCAATCGCAACTGAGGGTACTTGCTCCGGAAAGTCAGGAAGTGGCTCCCAGTTTGACAGCGATGAAATATGTTGTTGTAGCAGAAGGTAGTCCGGCCCAGTTCAAAACTACAATCTTTATTTTGCTTTTATCGGATGAGATCAGCCGTTAAATGCGTAGAAAAACTATGTTGGACTTATGGTCCAAAAATTTGTTGTATCCGAGAAGAGAAGAAGAGTTCAAGAAATTATAGGCAGGAATTATAGATTCAATCTCAAGATATACCTACGCTAGTCCTAGCCCTAATTGTGAAAAATAAAACTGGAGATTTAAGTATGAGTATAGATTACATGGTATAATTGAGGGCCAGTGAGATCTTTCACCAGGAAAAAAAACTTTTGGTATAGTTAATATGGTTATGATGAATGTCGCATTGAGTCCTTCAAGATTTACTACTGCTCTCAATTATTGATGCACTGAAATCTGGAATCATACTGCCCATTTGATCTTGAAGAATCAGATGACGAAGACTGATGAGGAGGAAAATAGAATTCTTGACTCAGAAAGTAAAGAACAACAGGAGGACTACGCATATAAAAATTCTGACGAAACAGAAATGAAATCACAAAGAAATAGGAAAAGGCTCACTTATTTAGGTAAAAAAATATGGTATTTAAAACGAAAATAAATTTTGAAAGGATGTAGTACCGAGACAACACAGAAAGTCTTTTTTAGGTCTGCATTACGTCTGAACGTCTGAAGACCAAAGACGTCTTTAAGATATCTTGTTGAAGACGTCTTTAGAATGTCTCAGTCCTAAAATCTCTTTAGTCAAACGTCTGAAAGACGTTGGGTTGCAGGCTCGTGATTTGTTTTTTAATTTTTATTCTGATTAGGCGCTTAGCTAGAAAATTCAGATGGGGAGGTTTTCGCTATTGAAATTAAGAAGCAATGCATGACCAGAATAAAAATTGCGCCGCAGGCGAAGTTTTTGTAGAATTTCAAGGTCAAATCGTCGGTCTCATGACATAAGGCCCTATCTCGAGATAGGGCCAAAATGAGTTAAGTTCATAGATATGTTGCATTCAGTATATACTTTTAGCCAAGGGTCTTATCTTGAAATCAGTTCAATTCGTTAAAAAAGTGAGAAAACACCTATCATGAAATATGAACAGTTTCATTACAGCACAAAGGCGAATCTTGAGACACACATGCGAATTACTATTTTGAAATGTGTTATTTGACAAAAAACTTACATGGTTTGTTGTGCATAATTCCAAAAAAAAAGGACCAAAAATCGGTATACCTCTTCTTATTCTATTCGCATAAAGATATTAGTTTTCTTTTAATTGCTCTCCTGAAAACTTGTGAAAAACGAGATAGGGCCTTATGTCATGAGATCGACGAAATGCTCTATATGAAAAGAATAAAATTTTGAGGGTAAAAAAGTATATGCGAAAACATAGTTTTCTTGAGGTAAATTTCTAGAATTTTCAGTACCTAATGTATGTTCTTCGTGACTTCAGAAGTGGTCTTTAATTATACCGCTCTTCTAATGTTTTTCTTCCAAAATGAATTTTGTGTCTTTTTTCGTTTAAAGGACATCAAGAATTTAAGATCTTAGCGAATAGACAAACAATGAAAGTTATAAAATGAGTGATAATAATCAAATAATAGTCCTCAAGACGTCTGAAAGACGTTGGGTTCTCTAACATACAACGTCTTTGAGATGTCTCGAAGACGTAAGCAGACGTAAGAGAAGTCTTGAATGTCTTTCGAAAACTCTCGTAGATGTTCGCTCTTGCATGCAAAGTACAGTTAACTTCATCTATCTACTTACCACTGCCTTTTTACTAAAAATTTGTCCATATATATTCCTATCCTTCGGCTTATTCAGTTTAGCATAAACTACAGATATAAATACACCATCTATCAATATAGTTAATAGAGTGCTGACGGCTAGTACAATGAAATACAATTTACAATTTTCGGTGGGATGAACGTAGCCATAACCGACGGTTGTGATGGTTTCTATACCCAACATGAAAAAGCTTAGAGTATTTTCCACTCCCACCATACATATAAGGTGTTCTAAAAAAGTATACATTTGCATATTTTGTTTCATAGAATGTTAAAACATACCTTCTTCATTATCAAAATCTCCACTTATCCAAGAATCAAAATAAAATAGTAAGGCACAAGTAATGTAAGCAAGCACATTAACTACAGCCACAGTTAACAACAGCCATCTCCATTGCATATTTGCTAAGGTGTTCCATAAATCTTTGGCATAACGTAAGGATTTTTGGGGGATTTTTTTGAAATAAACTCGAAATCTGCCTCTTCTTGTAACCATTCTTGAATCGCATTTGTGGTGTTGTGATGTCGAACGAAATGGAGTGTTTCTTCTGAGACTATCATTTTTGCTACTACTACAAAAGAAGTGATTTAATTTTTCGGCTACAGAAATTACATCCAAGACAAGTCAAGTTAATGAGAATCATGCGAACAACGTTTAAATTTGATAGCACATGGTATTAGATTTTTGTTTGTTTTGTTTGTTCATTCTATCTTATATCGCCAGTCGGTTAAGACCGAAATGTATAATTATTTTTGATAATTTCTTACCTAAAACTCTCTTGAGTCCTCAAAATAACAGGAAAACCAATTTTATCGATATTTTTTTCACTGCCTAAAAATTGAATTAAAACATCTTTTTCGTTATGGAACATTTTTTCATTATTTTGTACTATGGGGAAGACAATACAGCATTATTTTATTAGACAAAAATAACAGATAAGATAACCATAAGGTTAAACAAAATTAGAATAATAAATCAGGTGTTCTGACTTAGTAATTCTATTTACTGAAACAATTTATTTATAGAATTTTTATAATTTCCAGTTGAACGAAACTTGAAAATGTTGGGTATATTAATATTTAATTTAGGTACATTTTTACACTTCATCATCATCCATTTTCTGGCTAACAATAGCCGTATCCTGCTCCTCCTCGGGATTTTCTGCAACATTTTCGTTAGCTTTTGTGCGATTAGAATCCCTAGATAGTTGAATAGAGACCAAGTTTTCCACCAATTTTGATACCTAAAAAAAATACTTGAAATGAGGAATTCACATATTGCTTCTGTTGAAATATTCTATCTATTCAACAATGATCATTTAAATTTAAATGGGTTAACCGTCTTCATAGGTATATCTATAAACTTTATTAGCTGAAGGTTCGAGAAAATCTATACGACTGTATTCCTTTTTAATTATAAAATCTATTATCTTTATTATTGTAGACCAGTGTGACAATTCTATAGTGTGACATATTATGTCAAATTAGTATAGACATATTTTTCTTTTTCTATAATTTCAAAGCTCACCTGTAAAAGATAATAAATAATAAAGGGTACAATCGCTAGTACTGTTCGCGGAAAGTCTAGAAAACCGGAATAATGGCGGAAGGTGCCAAATATAACGTCGAAAAGTTAAACGGACAGAATTACGAGTCATGGAACTATCTGGTGAAAATGTTACTAATAAACGCTGATTTATGAGAGGTACTATCGAATGCAGTACCGGCTACCTGGAAGAAGTAGAATGACAAAGCCTTATCAACTACAGCCCTACTTGTTGACGTTAGTCCATTGGTGCATATCAGAAATAAGCAATATGCGCGTGAAGCGTCGGACGCACTAAAGGAGTATCATCAAAAATCAAGTATATGGGGATATGGAAGCAAAGCGGTAGTGAATGAGCTCGATTGGATTCAAATTTACTTTCAGTGAAAAAACTAACAAGTGCGGGCTATAGCGAGTGCAAGGCCGGCGCCCGACCTGTACAAGTTATCAACCGTGCAGCAATCATTAAGCGTCGTTAATGAACACTCCAACGACTGTCAGCAAACATGGCGTAGAAGATTTGACATATGGAAGCAATCAAGCACCTGATAGAAAGAAAAATGGCATCCGGGATTATTATTAGGGACTGTAAAATCAGGGAAACTTGAAATTATTTGTAAGAGTTTCCCGAAAATTTCTCAAAATAATACATTCGATATACTTGACCTAATACATACGGATGTTTATGGACCCATGAAGACTGTTACTCCAGGAGGTAAGCGTTACATTCTTACTTTAATTGACGATTTATTAAGGTATTCAACTGTATATTTGATGAACCATAAAAATGAAACTTAAAAATATAAAGAGTCTATTGAGTTAATGAATAATCAGACAGGCAGGGTTCCGAAGGCTATTAGGTCGGATAAGGGTGGCGAGTACGTAAATAATGCTTCAAGAGAATATTTGGAGGTTAGGGGCATACAAATTCAGTACACCGTACACCAGCGAAATGGGGTTGCTGAGAGAAATAAATATAGTTTAAAAAAACTAAAAAACACGCTTTTATAGTAAATTGAACTAAAAAGTGAAAAATAATTTTTAATATAAACAGAAAATATTAATGAACAAAAAATATTAGAATTATTGTGAAAAAAGCGTGGGGTGATTTGTTCCACATTTCTCGTACAATGAGCACCTGATCCGGATTCTGGAAAAAGATCCCCAGGTCTTTTGGGACCTTTGGCAGTTGGTTTTTTTTACTTATGAAGGTTCAGATACGAAACAATATCATGGCAGCGATCAAAGCTATCAACCAAGCGAAGAAGAACCTGGCATGTATGACGTGTGTGTCCGTAGTAGATCAAATAGAGTAAATAAAGGAGTTCCATCCGAGCGCTACATAGCAAAGTTAGTTCAACTACAGGAAACAGAGCCCAAAAACTTTAAGGAAGCTCTTGCTAGCAAAAATAGTGGAAGATGGATGAGAGCTTAGGAGAATTTAAATCAATAAAGGTTAAAGAAACATGGGACTTAGTACATGCGCCGAAGGGAAAGAACATAGTATCATGTAAATGGGTCTTCAAGCTAAAGACAGGTGAAGATAAAACTTCAAAGAAGTATAAGGCACGACTGGTAGCGAGAGGTTTTTGTGACATGGAGTACTTGAGTCGGCAACGCCGCTCAAAAGTCGGAATAGCGGCCCTTGGCGCAGGGACCAGAAGTTAATATCAGGTAAGCGTACCACATGGTGACAGCGGCTATTTTTTTCGTGCTTCGAGCGAAAATTACTGGTAAAAATAGTACATTTTCATTCTATCTATCTATTCTATCTATCGACTCTAGCCACTTTAGTGAAGTGCTCATATTGAGTATAGTGCGGATTTTTAGTATGAAAACGGGGAAGACCTTGGCGGCCTGCAAAACGCAGAACCCAGCCAGGTGTTTGTGTTTCAGGTGAATACGACGGGATGGTAGCTTCGATGTTGCTAGATCCACTATAACATCGGTAGACTGTAAGATATTTTTTTTCTTTTAAAGAAAGTTGACTTTTTGGACTGTTTCGAAAAAACAACGAATTTATGTGGGCAGAGCCGCAACAACGAGCATTTGAAAGCATAAAAAAGCTCCTACGACAGCTCCCATTTTAGCACATTTTACTCCAAGACGTCCAACAAGAGTCATAGCGGACGCCAGTTCATATGGATTGGGAGCAGTCCCGGAACAAATGGAGAAAGATGTATGGAAACCTATCGGCTATCGGCAAGACAATGTCCGACACATAGAGACGATATGCGCAGATAGAGCGAGAAACATTATATTTGGCTTGGGCCTGCAAAAAATTCGCCCAATACCTTCTTGGTCAAACATTTATGCTCCTGACTGACCATAAACCCCTAGCGAAACTTTTAGGAAGCAAACAATTAGCTGGATCTATCAGCTAGAATCAAAGATTCCAAATGAGATTGATGCGATTTTCGTATGATGTACAGTATATTCCTGGCAGAAACATGATAATGCCTGACGTATTATCCAGAGCTCCACTAAAATCCAGTGATCACGAAGCAGATATTTTATTTGTCAACGAACTCATAGAAAAAGTGGAAGATTTTGCAAATTATATTCGTGAATCAATGTCTATCAAGGGCATGAGTATAAAAAGTATCTTGGAATGTCAGAAGAATGATGTCCAAACCAAAAGAATAATAACTTAAATACAAAATGGTTGACCACACATTAAGGATTTACCAACAACAAACATTATCTAGTGGCAGTCGATTATTTCTCAAGATTTATAGAGGTTGCCAACTTAAATTCAGAAACTGCTGTCGATGTCATAACGAAACTGAAACCCATGTTGTGAAGATGGGGAATACCAGAGACCATTAGATCAGATAATGGGCCTTGTTTTTCTAGCCACATTTTCAAACAATTTGCTCAGACATATGGATTCAGTCACATCATATAAGCAGCCCTAGGTATCCTCAACCAAATGGGCAGGCGAAATCCGCTGTGAAAATAGCCAAGAATATAATTCTAAAATGCAAAGACCCAAACTAAGGACTGTTAAAACAGCAAAACTAGAAAGTGGAATTTCACCAGCAGAACTGATCATGGGAAGAAAACCTAGGAATTCAATTCCAGTTAACAAAGACAGATTCATTCCTAAGTGGAAATACATAAACGACTTCAAGGAACTCAGAAGCAACAAAAAAGAAATTCAAACATTGAATTTTAATAAACGACATAGAGCAAGATCAAATTCTACCTAGAAAAATATTGATAAAGTTTGGATACCCGATTTAAAAATGTTTGGGAAAGTAATGGATCTGAACATAGAACATACATTATCGCCGCAGAAAATAATGTCATCAGGCGAAACAGAAGCCAAGTTATAGAAGTAACCTCAGAAGCGATAATAAGACTAGAACAACGGATGAAACTCGACTAGAGATGTCCAATTGGGAACTCCCCGAAAGTTGCAATGATGAGTCAAGCTCAGAATCAGAGGGTAACGATGGAGGGGATGATATGAACACAGAATACGGTTCAGCCGCATCACAAAGCAGTGGACTAGAACTTGAAGGCAATAGCTCCGAAAGTGACAACGACTCCAACCACTTCATAATATCTGAGCCAGGCTCCGAGGAGAAGATCGAAGTCTATAACTCCACTCCGAGATACACCACCAGATCAGGAAGACTAGTCAAGCCGGCAGGTCGTTGCACCTGCAATAGAATGTGTGGTGAAGATTAGTTAAAACAAAAGTGAGAATGAACATTGTACAGTGTATATAGTGAATTAGTGTGTAGTTTTATCCATAACATTAATATACCCAGTGTAAATGGGACAAACAATGGTTAAAGGCTAGTCGCGTTGAATTCGCCTCGAGTGCAGAGTTAAAGACACTCACTTGATGAAAAGGGAGGATGTGGCATAGAGTACTTGAGCTGGCAACGCCGCTCGAGAGTCGGGATAGCAGCCCTCGGCGCAGGGCCCAACAGTTGATATCAGGTGAGCCTACCACAGGCTGCTACAGTTTTAGCTAAAAATTTAGGGTTGATTATACGAGAAAGTATTCACGCCTGTAATGCGGCAAGCAACGTTCCGAATATTGTTAACACAGGTATGGAGTCAAGATCTTGTAATAAGATATTTAGATGCAAAAACAGCTTTCTTAAATTGAGAATTGACCGAAGAAATTTATATTGTGCAACCTGAAGGATTTGAAGAAGGAGACAAAAGTTATGTTTGCAAATTAGATAAGGGTTTGTACGAATTGAAACAATCTGCCAGGATCTAGAACCAGAAACTTGAAAATATTGACAAATAATGGATTGCGTGAAAGTAATATTGATGCATGTTGTATATTAAGATTATTGATGA